TCAGGCAGCACAGCTGCTGCTCTGTGTCTTTTGCTCCCACTTCTCCTATTCCCCTGCCTGCTGTGGCTCACCACCTGCCCATCTCCAGTCCCTCACCAGGCAGTGAGGTAGAATGGAAGGCCAAGGTATGCTCTTACTACAGTGTGCTAGTTTGGGCTGGTATAGAGTTAACTTTTTCCCCAGTGGCTGGTATGGGGCTGTGTTTTGGATTTGTGCTGAACACAGGGTTGATAATATAGAGATGTTTTTTGTTATTCCTGAGCAGGGCTTGCACAGAGCTGTTTCTCCTTCTCATGCTGCCATGCTTGCAAGGAGGCTGGGGGTGCATGGTGAAATAAAGAACTTAGATCCAACAGAAAAGTTCTGTTAGACAAAACATTCCTTTATTGCAGCTATGGACAATATGGGGACATATTGGGAATTTATTTTCTATAGACATGTCCAACAAAACAACTGTTTCCAGAGGTTTAAATACACGGTATCATTCAAGCCCTCCCAGAGTCTGCCTATCTTCTTGCATCATAGATGCCCTCTCAAATGTCACCTTGCTGCTCTTTTGTGGAGCAAGACTGCCATCTAGTGTCCTTTTCCTGATATAATTTCAGGGGGTGAAAGCTCTTCTTCAGCTATCGTCTTCACCACTTTATCCTTGTCCTTGTTTAGGGCAAATTTGGGAGAAAACCTCCAGAAGGAGCCCCCAAAAAGGAAATCCCCATGGTCCCTCCCCCCACCTGGTTTGGGAAGAATTTCCTTGGAGAGAAGTGGGAAAAAACCCTGTTTATTTAACAGGCAAAGCACTCCCCAGCACAAAAAATGAACAACACCAGATGACAAAACTCTTTCGCCACTCTGAAGAGATGCCAAATCCATAAAGTCTCTCCTGGGAATGGTCGCTCTGTTATCGGTCCCTCCGGCACTGGGAATGGCTGCTGCAGGCCACAAAGTGAAAAACTCTCGGTGTTTTCCCAGGTCCCAGTCTGGAGCAGGTCTGAATGGTTCCAAGAAAAGGGAAAGAAAGACAGTCCAGGGAAAATTCGGACTGCCTAGCTAAACAAACTAACAAGCAAAAAGCAAAAGCAAGCATAAGCAGGAGCAAGAGCAAATGCATAAGCAAAAGCAAAAGCTGCACTATGTACTGCCGTCTGTGTCCAGCAGACCGTGGGGGAGTGAGCAGGCTGATAATAAAACAAAACTTTGCTTTTCAGAGCAGGTCTTGAAGGCACAGAACATAATATCCAGCATAAACAGAACAGATGACTGGGGATACAAGCATCACAATGTCACCCTAGGACAATCCTTTAGATGAACTTTCAGGTAGGCAACTTCCCACTGTTCTGGATTGCAAGGCAAGATGTATTCAATTGCCATCTGTTAGAAGTGTGGCAGTTACATTCTCTTAATTGGGAAATTTTCTTTATCTCTTCCACAAACCAATCCTCCCTGCCAGGGAGACATCTGCTGTTAATGGCCTACTGAACGTCACATTTCTACCTAGATATAATCTTGAGTTTCTGGAACACCAGCATGGATTTTCTGCACTGGATTTCCCAGAGGAACATCTTCCTCTTCCACTGCATCTTCAGAGGAGGACTACACCCTTTTCTATAGGATCACTGCTCCAACAGAACCACACCTGACACCCCAGGAGGATGTGCAACCATAAATCCCAATTGGACTGCTGCCAACACTCTGACTAACAGGGTGTCAGGTTATATCGCCTGTCAGTGTTTTTTTGGTTCACTGCCCTGTTTATTTTATCCTTTTATTTTCTTCCCTAATAAAGAACTGTTATTCCTGCTCCCATATTTTTGCCTGAGGGTCCCCCTTAATTTCAAATTTATACCAATTCGAAGGGAGGGGTGTAGGAATGTGCCCTCTGTTGACGGAGCAAACAAGTTACCCTTTGTCTCCTTAAAAAGGACAAAATCCCAGAAGTTTCTCTCCTCAATTTGGTTAAAAGACACCTCATAGGACCTTGGAGACTTCACCTCTGTCGGAACCCAAAATGTCCCTCAGACATTTTTAGAGGTTCCAGGCCTTGGTCAGAAGCATTTTAGACCCTGGCAAGCAGCTGAAAACAGCTGTGATCTTGAGTTTGAACCATGGAATGAATTACCAACTTTGAAGGTGGAACAAGCAGTCACAGAGGGTTAGATGGTATAGTAAAAGTAGTCACAAATTAGAGGGGAAAATTTTTTAGTATTGTACAGGGGGGTTTTACTTTGTACAGGGGGGTCAGGAGTTCTAAGATGGAGGAAAGTGGGCCTGATCCTGTTCTTCCTCCTTCTTCTTCCTTACCTCCATGTTCTTGGGGATGTTGGCATTCACAGATTGGTTTAGAGTAGAAAAGCACATTGTAACATAGATAGTAGGTATTGGGGAAAATCTAAAAACATATAATACGTAATATATCATATAAAAGATAGTAGCAGCCTTGGGTGGGGAGAGAGATGACAAAGACACCGGACAGTGAGGGTGTCAGGAGAGTGTGTGCCTCTGCCTGGGCCGCAGACCTAGGCAACCGCAGCGGGCGAGGACAATCTTTTAGATAGCTAGCAATAAACTACCTTGAGACCGAACAACAAGAGGCTGCAGAATTTTTCTTTGGAAGCACGGGTTGGAGGAGAGACTTTACCACCACACGAGACCCCTGAATCAATCCCGGGGTTCTCACACACTTCAAACTTAAGGATAATCAATTGGACAGAAGCCAAAAAGTCCCGCCTAAGCAATTCACTAGAAAAGAAGAGAACAAAATAAGTAAATCACTTGTGAAGTGTTTTAGCAGAAGCAAGAACCTCTTGCCCTGGCTCGGTTTTTCTCTGTAAAGAGCTTTTTTATTTTGCCTTTTATTAAAACTTTTTTTCTTCCAACACTGTCACAGGAGCCATCCTGCTTCTTTTATGCCACCTGAGGTAGCTGAGCTATCAAGGGTATAATGCTTGTCTATGAGAGCTTATAAGACCTGGCTCAAATAGACAAAACATTATTTGGCACCTGGACAGGTGATTTCTCATACTGAGGGACACTGTGCAGGATATTTTTGATTTGCCCTCGATCAAAATAGGACATTTTTCCTCGGTCTGGCGTTTTGGGGAGCAGGCCACAGAGGATCTGAGGCCATCAGATGTAGCGAGCGCTGGTCCCCTGAACGGTTGGGATGGATGGAGATGAGAGATCTCTGAAATCAGGTCTTAGGATATACGGTTTATTGCAAAGGGCGTTGGTGTGGGGCCCTGCTGGGAGCTGCCAGCTGCAGCTCAGAGCAGGCCCCAAGGAGTGGGGGCAGGGAGAGATAGCAAGTGAGAGAGAGGGTCCAAGAGGGAGTCCAAGAGAGAAGGGGCCTCTGGTCCTCTGGGTACACCTTATCAAGGGGGCTTCAGAGTGGGTGCGGAATAAGACTTTGGACCAATGGGATTACAGATACACGATACTTCAGGGGAGGGTGTTGTGGTTTGACATGGAAGAGAATTTTTTTAGGGAGTTAGAAGTCAATCTAATTAGTGTCACATTTGAATATTAACACCTGGAGTGACCACTGAGGGCTGGACACGCCTCTGAGAACACAGGGGGTTAAAAGCAAGAACTCCCAGGAGAACTGTCTCTTTGGCACCAGTCATCGGAGAGAGCAGACCTCCCCTGCCCAGCCAGAAGCTGGGTGGGGAAGGGGAAGCCATGCGGACTGTAGAGGTAAGCCAGGGGGTGAAGGGTCTGGAACCGAGACAGCTTCTGTAGACAGAAGGGTGGAAGAAGTCTGAGATATCTTTGTTCCCCCCCACCCCCCAACATAGAGGGAAAGAAACAGAGAGCCTGAAGACACCTAGAAGTTTACCGGGAGAGGAGAAAGGGGGGGGGGGGGAGGAAAGTGCCCAGCTTGGGAGATGGAGTCCTGAGCTGAAATTTCAGCCATCCGGGAGTCCGGGACTTTTAACCTTTTCCTGGAGAATGAAGGCTTTGTGAAATATTACTCCTTCTCAATTTGAAAGAAAAGAGAGAGAGCCTGAGACCTGAGATTTTAGGAAAAGAAAGTTGGGGGGGGAGACGATGGAGTAGCTTTTGGTGGGACTTTTCTTGTTAGCCATAGACTAAACCAATTTCTCTTTTAAGAGAGACTGCATTTTTGGGGGATGCAGTGGTGAGCCAAGAGACCTGCTTCAGCAACTACCAGTACAGGGATGGAGTGAACAGAAAAAAGCTGAGAAGAGTGTGATGATGCCCCCTGTCTTCAGGAAGATGAAGATCTCTGTTTTCACCCTCGGCCCCAGGGGAGGAGGAAAATGGGGGGGACTGTGGTCCCAAAATGAGATACTGGACTGTTGTTACTTTTCATCCTTGGCAAAGCATCCTAAAAGGAGTCCTATGAGCAGTCTATCCGTGCATGGTGGTGAGAGCACTGTGGCATGGAAAGAAGAGTGTCACACTGGCAGATTTTCTCCGGGCGGTGCCATGTATGACATGGAAACACAAGAAGTAGCAAATGTGTTTCCTGAGAGTCTGTGGTGCAAGGGAGACTCTTCTCTCCCTTGATGAACTGAGTATTGATTATATTGAAGAGTGATAACTTAATTAAGAGTCTTAAGAGTCTAAGTTGTGTCTCACTGTAGTTTATTAGAGTTGGGTGGGGGGAGGAGGAATGTTTTAGAAGGTTTTCATTTTAGATTTAGTGTGTGTTTTTTTTTCTTTTTCCTTTTATCATAGTAGTAGTTTAATAAAAGGGTTTTTTTTCCTTTGTTATTAAGCTTAAGCCTAGTCTACTCTGTTCCAGATCACATCTCACAACATTTGTTTGAGAAGGGGCATTTTCATGAAGGTGCTGGCATTGCACCAGCGTCAAACCGTGACAGAGGGTTACAGATGTGGGATAAACTATACATTTTTGAGGGGTGAGACAGAACATTTTATCTGACCCTTGGATCTGTCTGTAGGTCAAAAAGGGGACCTGCCTTCCACTGGCTATACCACTGTTCTCTAGTTGCTTAGCAACCAAGGCCCGACATCTCAAAGCTCATTCTCATCTCAATCTCGCTCACAGTCTCTGTATTTTCCAAATACTTTGCCAGGCAATCGTATTTATAACGTTTTCCCATTTAATCTATTCCAACAATCAGAGGGGGTCACAGATCGAAACCCAAGCCGGTGAGAAAGGGCTGAAACTGGGACGGGCTGGAGAATGCTCTGCAAAGTCCTAAGGACGTCTTCAGAGAGAGAGCTGCAATTGGCTGAGCCAAGGCTGAGACACCGCTGCATTTCCAGACCCAGGGAGGAGACCAAGGATGACAGCTTCTCTGAAAACCATCAGTTGGTGAGTAAGAAAGAATGGGAAACAAGCTGTCTGTAGCTGTGCAGGATCTTTATTTTATTTTTTTTTTTTTTACTACAAATTAGAAATTCAAGATGTAAAATTTGAGATTAAACAGCTTAAAAAACTCATTAGATGGGTTTTCACAGAATTTCTGACTCTAAATACGTCTGAGATGCTTACCCTAAAGTTCTGGGATACTGTGGGACTTAGAGTATACAGTATGGAAAAGAAGTCCAGCTTAAGCTTACGCTCAATATTCAGGACAGTGTTGCAATTTGTAACATTTGAAAGTGAAAAACAAGCCAGAGAACCAAAAAACACCTCCCAGCAGAGAGAGAGCTGACCACAGGCTGCGGCAGAAAGAAAGGAGGGGAGGCAGAGATTGGGAGACCCCAACCCTGTTCCCAACTTGCCCTCAATCACACAGACCCCGGGAGGGCAGGCGGGAGCCAGCAAGGCCAGCCACTGCCCGTCAGGCACCTCCTCCACCCCTGAGAAGGGAACAGACAAGTCCTGGCCAGACAAGTCTGCACCCCGTCTCTCCTAACCCACCTAACCTGAAGAATTCCCGTCGGTTTCCTCTCAAAAGTAACCTCAAATGTGCAAAATCGGTGAATTTTGGTAGTGCAATGGAAAAGAACCCAGCTGAATCCATACTCTGTGAGAACAAAGGCACATGTGGCCAGTGACATGTTTCAGAACTGTCAAGCTCTGCCCTTTGTGGGCGTGTTCCATCCTTGGAGTCCCAGGATTCCCTTTCCAATTCCTCACTAAGCTCCTGCCCATCAGATGCAGGACACTGCCCTTTTGTGGGCCGAGCTCAGTCTGCCTCTCTGCCAGAAATCCCCGCCCACACCCCGGACGGCACGTCCTCACCCTGTCAACCATGGGAACCAGAGGTGAGCTCCTGGAAGTCACCCCATCCAAAATGGCGGCACCCATATTGGGAGGAACACCGATATCGAAAAAGAGATATTCTCACGCCCCCCCCAAGGTAGCCCTCCAGAATCTAAGGATGAGTTTTGTACATCAGGAGGCACAGACACCTGGCAGAGGATCAGAAGGGACACAGTACAGCACAGAGAATGGGCGATTGCTTCTAGACATCTGTTTTTCCAGTCAGATATAATGTTGCCGGCGCAGGGGGACCACAGTGGGGAAAAAAAAAAACTTTGCAGAAATAAAAGCGTTTTGCAAAGCAGATAGATCTTATGGAAGAGAATCAGCATATTTCAGAGGATTATTACAAGCCACCTTTTCAGCAAATGTATTTACCCCTCATGACCTAAAGCAGCTTTGTATGTCTTTACTGTCTCCAACAGAGTATTCTCTGTGGGAACTGGCATGGAAGCATTTATTAAATGACCTTTTAAGAGGTTATGCAAGAGCTCCAGCCGCTGCAAATATAACTCTAGATCAGCTTTCTGGGGAAGGAGCCTATACAGATCCACAAAGACAGTCAAGAGTTCTTAACAGACAGATCCTGCAGGATATTAAGGATGCAGCAAGGACTGCCCTGCTCCAGGTGCATGACGTAAATAAACCAGAATTAGACTTCACAGAAATAAAACAAGGGATGGATGAGCCATACATTAAATTTTGGGACAGTTTAAAATTGACATTAGATAAGCAAATTCCCATAGATTGTGCCAGAGAAGAGTTATTAAAACAGATTGCAATTTCTAATGCAAATCCAAACTCCAAAAGAATATTAAGTGCATTGCCACAAGACCCTGAGCCTACTCTAACACAGCTAGTGGATGCTTGCAATCGCCTGGGTGCCCCTGAACCCGCAGCAGCCATGCAGGCAGAGGTGCTAGCTAATGCCATCACAACTGCACAGGAAAACACCCTAAAGCAGCAGGAAAAAACTGTAGAAATTCAAGCACAAACCCTAGCAGAGGCTCTAACAGCATTTAAAGGGGCAATTGAAAACCAACAGACTGCAAAGGATACATGCTATTCGTGTGGCCAGAGAGGGCATTTTAAGCGAGAGTGTCCTAAAGTACGAAGGAGGCCACCTCCAAAAAACAGTGGATACAGAGGTCCTTATCAAAATACTAACAGTTTTCACCCAGTTCAGGGTTGTCCATGCCATCTTCCAGGAAGCGTACAGCCAAGCACAACTCAGAGGCATGCGAGGACAGAAAATCCAGTTTCACAGGCCAGAGATCACCACAGGCCACCAAGCACAGAACTGCAGCAGATCTTTGCAGGACTACCAAGCACAATGTTCCCAGGTACCAGATTGGAGCTGTCTACAGAAGCTAGGGACTTCTTATAAAATAGGGAAAGCTGGACAGGACAAACACAGATCAAGCCAATATGGTTAATGCTACATTCTCCTTTATTGTTTATATGATGGCAGTTTATATACACTTCAATACAGTCCACAAATTGCGAGCACACTATCATTGGCCAGCAAACATTGTTTGTGTTTGTCTTAAGGTGGCTAGAGCTCCACACTGCAGCCTTATACCAATTCACACTCAGACAGCTCATTACTTTGTGGTTATACCTTAACATAATTTCTAACTGCGCAACAACTAATTTCTTACTGCGTCAAAGGCTTCAAAGGCGTCACCAAGGCCGATTATCTGAGGCCTAGACTGGGGGTAGCTCAACCTTCACTCCAAATACAAATTGTGTCCTCTCTCTCTCAGAAATCCTGCAACAGTCTACAGCCCAACCAGTAATGCTAACCAATGCCATTCCTCACACAGTATCCACAGGACAGCTGGGACCTGAACCACAACCACGTCAGTTCTTAGTAGTGGGAGTGAACAGATCCCATGCAGAAGGTTTCTATACCCTTCCAACTGTGTTATCTGTCACTTGTTCAAAGGAAAACACTGTTTTAGCTCTATGTCCAGACCCTCCATGTTTTATCCCTAAAGGACTGACCATAGCACAAGCTTTTCTCCTACCAGAGTCACAGAGCAACACATCCCTCATCACTTGGACCAGGCACATCAGCTGCAGGCGGCCTCAACTCACCTGTGTCCTGAAGCATCTCGGGAAAACCATCACCCTCGTTGGCCTGATAGATACCAGAGCTGACATCACTCTGATATCAAAATTGAAATGGCCACAGGACTGGACCATTGTACCCACGTTGGACCAACTGGCAGGTATTGGTGGTCACTGTAAAAGCTTTTGTAGCTTGCACTCGGTCACATTTGAAGGACCTGAAGGTCGTGTTGCCACCACAAAACCATTCATAGTAGGAGCTGATATAGTCCTTTGGGGAAAAGACATTCTCTCACAACAGGGTCTGAGACTAGAAACAGATTTCTAACAAGGGCTGTTGATGGACACAACACTCTAAAACTCACGTGGGCATCCAATACACCTGTCTGGGTCAGCCAATGGCCCTTACCAGAAGAGAAACTTGCTGTATTAGAGCAATTAGTACAGGAACAGTTAAACAAAGGTCACCTAATTCCAACTACCAGCCCCTGGAACACTCCGGTTTTTGTAATCAAAAAGCCAAACAGTGGGAAATGGAGGTTATTGCAGGATCTCAGAAAAGTTAACAAAGTGATTCAAGAAATGGGTTCTTTACAACCAGGTTTATCTTCTCCTGTTATGATTCCAAAGGATTGGAAGTTAACTGTTATTGATTTGAAAGACTGTTTTTTCAATATTTGTTTTCATCCAGATGATGCACCATGTTTTGCCTTTTCCATCCCATCAATAAAACAGCAGGCTCCTTTAAAAAGATATAATTGGCTCGTACTTCCTCAAGGTATGCGCAATTGTCTGAGTATATGCCAGTGGTATGTAGCAAAAGTACTTTCCTCAGTTCATATACAGTACCCGAATTCCCTCATCTTACATTATATGGATGATATTTTAGTAGCAGCAAAAGACCAAGCATCAATGCAGCAGACAACAGATCAGGTCATCTCAGCAGTGGAGAAAGCAGGACTCACAGTAGTGAAGGAGAAAATACAGACACTTCCTCCCTGGAAATATTTAGGATACAGAATCACAGAATAGACTGTAACTCCACAACCACTCCAACTAAGGAAAAATCCAAAAACACTGAATGAAGTGCAGCAGCTGGTAGGGACTCTGAACTGGCTTCATCCAGTGCTAGGCATTTCAAACCAGGACTTAGCTCCTCTGTCTAATCTACTGAAGGGAGACACAGCTTTAAACTCACCATGAGAATTCAACAAAGAAGCCCAAAATGCTTTAGATAAAGTGATGCGAGTCATCCAGCTCATTGGTATAATGCTAACTTGTCTTTTTTGTTTGCAGTTTTAGGGGAGAGTCTACAGCTTCACGGTCTAATATTCCAGTGGGATTTAGAGAAGATCAACCATCTGATAATCTTAGAATGGGTTTTCCTATCTCGTCAGCTGGGTAAAACTATAACAACTTGCCCTGAAATTATATCACAATTGATTATAAAGGCTAGATCCTGAATGTTTTCCCTTTCAGGAAAGTATTTTGCAGAAATCTTTCTGCCTGTCACATCCGTCTATTTGGAATGGTTAATTCAAAATTCAGAGGTTATGCAATTTGCCCTAGAAAATTTTACAGGGAAAATTTTGGTTAATTGTCCGAAACATCAGCTACTAAATTCATCTCTGAAATTAATTCATAAGCCCTTAAGAAGTCATGAACCCCTTGATGCAATCACATTTTTACAGACAGTTCAGGTAAGTCTAAAAAATCTGTGATTGCTTGGCAAAATCCAGAGACAAAAAAATGGAAATCAGATATTGAAGAAGTAGATGGTTCTTCACAAATTACAGAGTTAACAGCAGTTGTGCGAGTCTTTTCAAAATTCAGGTTTCCTTTTAATTTAGTAACGGATTCATTTTTTGTTGCAGGTGTAGTGGAAAGGGCAGAAGGGTCTTGTTGCCTTTATAAAGGGCAACTAGCGACCTGGTTCAGGGGACAGCACGGCAGCCTGGTCTCGCCCAGGCTACTCGGGCTAATCAACGCACGCAGATACCAATGTGGCAGACGGTCGAAAAGCCTTTATTATCTCATCTCGTGGGTTTAAATAGTCTTGGGGGTCTTTGCTACGTCAGAGGGGGGTTGAGGGGTCTCCAGGGTTAGTCGGGAGTGGGAAGTTACCAGAGCAGGTGTGGTCACATGCTCCTGGGGTTAATGGATAGCGTGGGGCAGGGAGAGGGGGAAGGGTCTCTCTTTCCGTCACATCCCGAGATTTTCCGTTTGCCTGTCCCTATCTACTACATCTCCCCTCCCCTTACCATATATAAAATGAGGTAGTCGTAGATATAGGCACTGGAGTGAGGTACAAACTTGTGACTTGTTAAGGAAAGGGTGGTTTGGTAAACCTGAGTAATTTTTTCAAGGCAGGTCTTGAAGGCTTTAGCGACTGACTGTGTTCGCAGTTTTTGGTTTACAGCATTTGTTGGTGGCCTATGAACAGAATGTTTGCCCTTTCCAGACGGGCCTGAACAAATGAGACTAGTTTGTTCAGCAGGCATGGTCCTATGGTAATAGCTAAAAGCAGTATAGCCAGTGGACCTACCAGGGCGGAAATTAAAGTGGTGAGCCAAGGTGATTGATTGAACCAGGATTCAAACCAGCTCTGTTGGGTTTCCCTGTCTCTCTTTCTCTGAGCCAGTCTGTCTCGGAGTTCTGCCATGGAGTCTTTAACGACTCACATATGATCTGCATAAAAGCAGCACTCCTCTTTCAAGGCTGCACACAGTCCTCCTTGCTGCATGAACAAGAGGTCCAGCCTTCGCTTATTTTGTAAAACTACTTTTGAAAGCGAAGAGACTGATTTCTCTAGATAGGAGATGGGTTTCTCGATCCTCTGTAGGTCTTCGTCGATGGTCATTTGCAGCTGAGAGAGTCCGTGCTGCTGGGTTGCGATGGCTGAGACACCTGTGGCTGTGCCAGCTGCTCCCAGGCCAAGCAACATTGCGATGGTTATACCTGTGATGATTTCTCTTTTGTGGAGTCTGTTAGGTTCCTCGAGAAGATGGTATATCTCTTCGTCTGAGTGATACAGAACCCTAGAACAGTTAGAACTTGGACACAGAAATTGATAGAGTTATTAAATTTGGCAAGGAACATATAAGGATTCACTCTGGGTCTCTGGCAAACTTACATCCCAGATGCAGATGGGATCACACACTTATTGGTCCTCTGCGGGGAGTGTCCCACCTGCACTGGTGGGGGGCACTGGCTGTGGAGCAACTGAAGGGGGTGTCTAAAGCAATGCCTTTGTAGAAAAGGGGGTTTTAACATCATAGCAAAACTAATAGGGGTTAGTCAGGTTCGATTTGGTTTCATTTAGGGTTAGTAAGGTAGCTTCTAAACAGGTTGGCTATGTGGAACACGAAGGATGGGGTGTTCGCTGTGGTGATCTCTTTGAACACCTTGTCACTTGAAAGATGTCGCATGATCCACTTAAATGGCTGATGAGGGTAGTGGCCTGGGTCAGCTTGTCCCCCTGGCCACAAGCCCCAATAGCAAAATTGCATAAAGACACTGTGCATGTCTGGGTCTCACCGCCGTGGGACTCTCAGGTGTTGTCTGGTGGCTTGGTGGTCTGTCATCTCTCTCTGGAGCAGGGGTGTATGCATCACGGGGATGGTTCACGAGCATGTCCTGCAAACAGAACTCACAGCTTCTCATTAGTTTTGTTTTGAGGGTCATGTTTGATTGGCAGAAGTGGGTGTACAGCAGTGGCCCTTTCCTCCTGCAGCTTCAGTAGGATCCCCTCGGGCGTGTTTGGGGTGGAGGTGCTGCGGCGGGCTTTGCATTGCCAGCGTCGGGGCCACAGGGCTTGGGGCAGGATCGAGCAGTCTGCTCCTGTGTCTGCCCAAAGCTGGAGTCCCGCCACGTGGGGGTCCCGACTGCCACAGAGGCGGCACGTCCCCCACACCTTCGGGGGCTCCCTCCCCACTTTCATGGCCAGGGCCACCCAGGGGTCCTGTATCGGGGCGTCCCCTGCTGACCCTGCGGCACAGGCGCTGCTATTTGCGGTGGGAGGTAGCTGAGTTTGGCCCGCGCGCTCCCCCCCCCCCCCCATCTCGTGTCTCCGGGGATTGGGACTCGCATTCCTTGGCGAGATGCCTTTTTCTCCCGCAGCTCCAAAAGGATTTATTTGGTTTTGTCTTGAATCGCGTTGGCTTTGTTTTCTCTGTCTCGGAGTTTTGGGCGGCTCCCGCCGGCCCCTCCGAGCCGGCAGAGCTGTTGCCGGACTCCGCGCCGGAAGTCAAATGCCAGTGCACTTCCGGGTCTCGGTGCCATTTTGTTCGGCTCCGAGCTCGCTCCTCCCCGTGGGGGTGGCGCCGCTCCCGCCCCCCCGGCTCGCCGCGCCTCCCACAGGGGGTGGTTTCTTCCTTAAATGGTGGCGGCGCCCTGCGCGGCTGCCGATTGGCTCTGCGCTCTCTGCCGCTCTCCGCCTCTTTCTCCCGCGCACGCGTGCCCCTGAAATCGCGCTGCTCTCGAGTTTTCGCGCCGAGACTACTCACGCCCCGCCCCCCTCCACGGCGCCTGGCGCCATTTTCAAAGCGGCAGCATGGCCACGCGGTTAGCGTTTTCACCCGAGCCGCAGTTTCTGCGACTCTGGCTTCTTCTGCCAGCTCCTGCCAGAAGCGCTCCGCGCGCCGCTGCGCCTCTGACAACGGCTCGCTGACCGGCGGCGGCGGCGGGACAGGGGAAGCTGCGGTTTCTCGGGGGGGTTTCGCGGCGGGAGTTTCTCGGGGGTTTTTCGCGGCGGGGATTGGGCTCTGATCTGGGGAAGGGGGTGTCGCGCTGAGCCCCCCTAGGTCCCCGCCGCCGGGCAGATCGCTCTCAGGGGCAGTCTGCGTTCCCGCTCCCACCCCGAGCTTGGGAGTAACTAATAAACAGGTACGCGCCGCGCTCCATGTCTCCTGCTCTTCTATTGCTTTGCGCAGGGCTTTCTCTACCTTGCCCCATGCCTTAAGGTTTTTGCCACTGCCTGAGGATTTAGTTTCCCCGGCCAGCGTGGCTGTACACTGTTCCCATATTCCCGGATGCATAGCATCCACTGGGCATTCGGCTGCCCCAAGCTCAAGCAGCCTCGCTATAGCAAGATAAAAGTCCTTGAGCTTAAATTCGATACTCCATTGCCCACAAATCACACTTACGACCCATGCTACAGCGTCCATGACGATTGCGGGTCCCGGGACGTCTCTCTGCGCCAAGATACGGTCTGACCGCTCCGGCCGCTGCTCCTGTCCAGGCGTATCCCGACAGCCGGGTGATTTTTCCCCTTTTTTCTCCTTTTTCCTCCCGGGTTTCGGCACCAATATGTTGCCTTTATAAAGGGCAACTAGCGACCTGGTTCAGGGGACAGCACGGCAGCCTGGTCTCGCCCAGGCTACTCGGGCTAATCAACGCACGCAGATACCAATGTGGAAGACGGTCGAAAAGCCTTTATTATCTCATCTCGTGGGTTTAAATAGTCTTGGGGGTCTTTGCTACGTCAGAGGGGGGTTGAGGGGTCTCCAGGGTTAGTCGGGAGTGGGAAGTTACCAGAGCAGGTGTGGTCACATGCTCCTGGGGTTAATGGATAGCGTGGGGCAGGGAGAGGGGGAAGGGTCTCTCTTTCCGTCACATCCCAAGATTTTCCGTTCGCCTGTCCCTATCTACTACAGGTCTCTGCTAAAAGAGGTTTCCAATGACCAGCTATATGGTTTGCTCAAAAAACTAATCTTCCTTCTTTCTATTCGACAGGAACCTTATTTCATAAGGCACATTCGTTCACATTCAGCGCTCCCAGGTTTCCTAGCAGAAAGCAATGCCATGGCTGATCTGTTAGCCATGCCAGTACGGAATACACTTCCAAATATTATCGAACAAGCCAGACTGAGCCATGCTTTCTATCAACAAAATGCACCTGCCTTAGTAAGAATGTTTAACATCTTTCAGAACCAGGCAAAAGCAATTGTCCAATCATGTCAAGATTTACAAAAGTTAGCCATACCAGCAATAGCAACAGGGGTTAACCCTCGAGGCTTAAAAAGCCTGCAGATATGGCAAACTGACAGAACTCAATATCAGTCATTTGCACAGTTCAAATATATACACGTATCAATAGACATGTTCTCAGGATCAATTTTTGCATCCATACATCAAGGAGAAAAGAGTAGAGATGTAATTAAACATTTCTTACAAATATTTGCATCCCTAGGTATCCCTCAAGAAGTTAAAACAGACTATGGACCAGCCAGAAACTTGAGGCTTGCCTGGGAAAACACTTCACCAAAGTTAAGATAGAAGAATAACTCACAAGCAATAAAAATTGTAATCAAATTAAAAAATTATTAGTATAACTACAAATTGTCAGCAAAGGTCAAAATTTTCAGATCACGCTCTTTTCTTCTCTTTCCTTTTTAGATATATAGAAAGGGTGAGATGTAGGAATGTGCCCTCTGTTGACAGAGTAAGCAAGTTACCCTCTGTCTCCTTAAAAAGGACAAAATCCCAGAAGTTTCTCTCCTCAATTTGGTTAAAAGACACCTCATAGGACCTTGGAGACTTCACCTCATACTTAAGGATAGTCAATTGGACAGAAGCCAAAAAGTCCCACCTAAGCAATTCACTAGAAAAGAAGAGAACAAAATAAGTAAATAATTTTTGTAAAGTGTTTTAGCAGGAGCAAGAACCTCTTGCCCTGGCTTGGTTTTTCTCTGTAAAGAGCTTTTTTATTTTGCCTTTTATTAAAACTTTTTTGTTTGTCATGGTTTGACACTGGCACAATGCCAGTGCCCCCCATGAAAATGCAATCTCTCAACTGAATGCTGTGAGATATGATCGTGAACAGAGCAAAGCAG